ACGACACCGACGGCGACGCCATGCCGGATGTGTGGGAAATCGCCCACGGGCTTAACCCCAACCAGGCGAGCGATTGGAACCTCGACTTCGACAACGACGGCTACATTAATCTTATCGAGTTCATCAACGAACGAGGTGAGTTCCCTGCGCCAACCCCGATTGTGTTTGAAGGGGCAGCCAGCTCACGTTACGCCGACATCATGAACTGGCGAACCGACGACGGCGGCGTCACCGCAGGCTCCAACTGGCAACCCTCACGGTTTGACACAGCCGTAATCGCCCGCGGCGACGCGCTGGTTGACTCGGTAGGGCAGCACGCCGGCACGCTACGAATCGCGCCCGGTGCGGGAGATGACGCTTCACTGACGGTGAGCGACGGCTGGCTGATAGTCGACCAGAAAGTTGAGGTCGGTTCGGCTGCCGGCAGCGGCCGTTTGTCGGTAGCACCAGCGGGAATGCTCGCTGCGCCCCTAACGGAGGTGGGATTAATGGGTCGGGTCGACGGCGCGGGCCAGATCGAAGGAAATCTCCTGAACCGTGGTTTGGTGTCCCCCGGAAAATCACTGGGCACATTGATGATTGACGGCGACTTCGCCCAGTCTCAGTCGGGAAAGCTGCTGATCGAAATCGCGTCCGCAGCAAGCTTTGACCAACTTCTGGTAAGCGGCGACCTGACGGCCGCCGGCGGGGTAGAGGTGGAGCTGATCGAAGACTACCTGCCCGTCGACGGCGACACATTCAATATCCTCAATTGGGGCGGCCTCAAGACGGGCGGGTTCGACGCGATCACCCTGCCCTCGCTAGGCGCCTCGCTGGTGTGGGACGATTCACAGCTCGAGACCGCCGGCGTGCTCAGCGTCACCTCATCGAGGCTGCTGGCCGGCGACTACAACAGCGACGGCGTCGTGAACGCCGCCGACTACACGGTGTGGCGCGACACATTAGGATCAAGTGAGCAGCTTGCCGCGGACGGTGACGGCAACGGCAAGATCGACGCGCAGGACTACGCCGTCTGGCGGACCAATTACGCGGCGTCTACGGAGAGCACAGCCGGCGCGGCGCCCGAGCCGGCGTCGCTGCTGCTGGTGGGCGGCTGCCTGATGTTGACGCTCGGAGGCAGGACGCGTCGTGCCTCGTAGGCGGCGGCGACTTGACTTGTTGCGGGGGAGAGGTGGCCGCTGGTACGGGCCATGCGATCGACGTGACGCGTTCGAGCTATTCGGATGACGGCCGTGTGCGGCGAGGTCGTCGATCTGGGCCAGCAAGGCGGATGTTGCTTACCGATGGCCAGCCGTCTTGCGACCACTCCCAGGCGGCGAGGGCGAGCTTCGAACGGCCCCGTTGGTTGGCGTCGTAGTAGTGGAAGCCAAATCGCTCTGTCGGCGCCGATACGAACGGGGCCACATGTCCCGGGCCGATTCTTGGCGTCTGGCTGTCGAGCACCTGTGTGCCGCCGCCGTCGGCTAGGTCGCGGCCTTCGCGGTCGAGGTAGGGGCCGGCCGGTTTCTTGCTGCGTCCAACCAGAATGCGATACGTGCTTTCGACGCCGCGGCAGCACAGGCCATGATTGATGAACAGGTAGTACCAGCCATCGCGTTGGATGAGTGTGGCGGCCTCAATCTCAGCTGCGGAAGCAATGCGAACCTTCTGCGACTCTTGGCTCGCGGGAAGTCCGGTGCCCGCGTCGAGTTCGAGCAGGTAGATACCCTTCCAGAATGAGCCAAAGGCCATCCAGTGCCGTCCCTGGTCATCGATCAGCACCGAGGGGTCGATGGCGTTGTACGGTGAGCCAGGCGCTGACGCGACGACCGCCCCTTCGTCGCGCCAGGCGTAGTCCGGGTCCTGAGGATCGAGCGTCGGGTTGGTAACCAGGCCGATAGCCGACGCCTGCCTGCCAAACCGCGACGCCGAGTAGTACACCCGGTACCGCCCCTCAGCATACGCTACGTCCGGCGCCCAGTAGTGGCCGCGGAAGCCCGGCACGTGTTGCTCGATCCAGGGGGGCGTCTTGTCGCGACCGAACACGCCCTGCTCTTCGGACCAATCGGTGAGGTTTGCGGATGACTTGACTTCAATCCCTCGCCCCGTGTGGAATAGGTAGTGCCGGTTTCCGTGCTTGACGATTGAGGACGGATCGTGGACCCCAACGCTGCCCGAGAGCAACGGCTCGTCGGCGCCGGGGCAATAATCGACTCCAGCTATCAATGTCAGCACCATGACGGCGGTGGCGAATCTCACGGGTCGTCAGCTTTTACTGGGATGCGGAGGATGCTTAATGAGTGCGGTGGAAACTCGTAGACGAAGTCTTTCGGCGTGAGGTTCAAGCGTGTCTCGTCTGGGCTGACCCGCTTGGGCTCGTCAATTGAGTTCTCGTCTTCGGGATCGCCTGCAAGTTGGATTAAGCGACACGGGACCTCGGTCGCCGACAGACCGCCCAACTGGAGGTGAACTGCGGTGGCTTGTGAGGTTGGATTGACGATCTTCAAGATGGCCTGCGACTCGCTTCCGTCAAGTGAAGCACTGGCGAACACGCGGTCGATCTCTGGCGCGGGCGCCTGGATGTCGTGGATCAGTTCGCCGTCTAGATAGCACCGGACCCGATCCCCAGATGTCTCGATGCGGATATCATACCAGCGGTCGGGCTCAACCGATCCGCTCACGCTGACTAACGGACTGGGGGTGGTGGAGTGGGCTGCCTGCTGTCCGATTAGGCCGTGGCGGGTGTTGTTCCAGCCACCGATGTTCCACTCAACCCGCGAACCGCCCGGACCGTACCGGAAGAAGACAGAGAAGCCTTCGCGGCCGCGTTCTTTACGCGCTTGGCACGCCAGTGTGGCGTCCGCCCAGTCGGGGCTGCCGAAGACGACCCTGGCCGAACCGCTGGGGCTGGGTTGTTTGAGCAGGTTTGGCCGCACGTCCCAGGCGCCGTCGTGGACGATGAAGTCTTTATCATCTAACAGCTTGTCTGCCGACCAAAGCGTCTTGTCGCCTGCGGTCACCGAGATGTTGCGGTAGGCGACGGCCGTGCTGTGCGAGCCGAGTCCGAAGCGCCCTGCAATCGGCGCCGGGGCTCGTGGGTCAGTTACCTTTACGGGCAAGGCGCGGTCGCCCGTGTGCAGGCTGAACAGCTGCTGGACATAATAGCTGGGCGTGCCGTAGCTGCTGAGGTTGTCGTACCACATCAGGTTGGGGCGCCACTGCCAGGCGTCCTCGTGGGCGAGCAGTGGCGCGTAGGCGCTCATGGTAACGATGTCCGAGTTGCGTTCGACGCCCGTCAGGAACGCCGCCTCGGCGATCGCGCACCGCAGCGTGTTCCGGTTCCGGGGAGAGACGATCTGCACGGACTGAGCAGCGTACTCGCCCATGAACACCTTCGGGCCGTGGCGGTCATAGTCGTCGTAGCGGTGCGCCTCGCGGAGGAACCAGTCGGGCGTCGCGTAGCAGTGCTCGTCGACAATCACTGCGTCCATCTTGCGGAGCAGCGGCCAGGCGTAGTCGAAGCGCTCGCCGGAGGGGAACGGGCCCGATGTTGAGATTAGCTCGATCTCCGGGCAGTGCTCGGCGAGGACCGCGGCGAACCGCTCGTACCGTTCGAAGTACTCAGGACCCCACTGCTCGTTGCCCACGCCCAGCATTTTCATGCCAAATGGCTCCGGGTGTCCCATCGCGGCGCGTTTGGCGCCCCACACGCTGTCCACTGGCCCGTTGGCGAACTCGACTAGGTCTAACGCGTCCTGGATATAGGGTCCCAACTCGTCGAGCGGGACCAGCTCACCGGTGTTGAATTGGCAAGCCATGCCGCAGTTGATGATCGGCAATGGCTCGGCGCCGATCTCTTCGGAAAGCAAGAAGTACTCGTAGAACCCAATCGCGAACGACTGGTAGTAGTCTGGTGCAGGGCGGTGGGCGAACTCGGTGTTCCATCGGTTAACGAGCAGGCGCCGCTCGTCGCGTGGTCCGATGGTCGTTTTCCACTGATACCGATACTTCAACTGACTGCCCTCGACGATGCAGCCACCGGGAAAACGGAAGAAGCGCGGCTTGAGGTCTGCGAGCAGCTGGACCAGGTCGCGCCGCATTCCGTGCGGACGCCCCTTCCAGGTGTCGGTGGTGCACAGCGAGATCGTATCGAGGTCGACGAGGCGTCCTGACGTCAGCCATATTTCCATCGTGCCCCGCTCCGCGGAGTCCGAAGGCGTCAGCGTGGCCTCGTGCTTTCGCCAGGCGGAGCCCTCTATCGTGATGGCCGTTTCGGCGAGTGTCTCGCCGGTCTCGTTGAGCAGCCTGACCATCACCTCGCTGCTGCGTCCGGCTTCGGCGCGGCCCTGGAACGCAAGCCGATAGGCTTCTCCCCCGCGGAGCCCCATCCCCCGGAAGCCCTCGTTCGCGACGCCCCCCTCAGCCGAGCGTCCGTCCTTCGACAACCGCAAAAAAGTTGGGTTGGCGGACGAGAGCGCCGCTTCGGATTCTTGGGTGACCTTGATACCTTCGCCCAAGGCTTTCCAGCCGAGCAGGGGCTTCGGAATCTCGAGCGATCCGTTCTTTACCAGCTCGGCGTTCAGGCCTCCGTCGCCACTGAAATTGATATCCTCGAAGAAGGCGCCGATCAGCCGTGGGCTAATTCTATGTCCGGGTTCGCTAACTGCCACACCTATTGTGACCTGCTCTTGACCCAACGCCCCATGAGGCCCAGTGACACAGGCGGTGACTGCGTACAGTGCGATGAGAGAAAACGTTCTCATGAGGTTTCTTTGCATCCACAGCAGGTCGGCATTAAATGGCCAACTCAGAGGAGTTCCAAGTCGCGTTGGACGGCCCTGCATTTGACCCCGACGCGACCACACGCCGATGTGTCTGGGACACGACGCTGGTCGTATGTCAGACTGACGGCGCAGCGAGACGACTCCGCCGATCCAGTCTGTAAACGACTCAAACTGCCGATACCCATGAGGCAGCGGCAGTCTGAGAGGTAAACATTTGTCGATACCAGGGTCGTACGACTACCTGCGGCGGCGGCCGATAAACAGCGAGCAGCCAATCGCGCCAAGCAGCGCTGCGGTTGGCTCCGGCGCCGTGCCGGCGGCAGTTGGGGCAGCGCTGGTTGCGCCGTAATTGTCACGCCATAGCTGGTAGCCCGCCTGCGAGCTGTCAGGCGAATCGCCATCACGCCAAACGGTGTAATCGGCGGCGTCCACCTTGCCGTCGCTGTTGTAGTCGCCCGCCAATCCCTCGGGGTTCACGGGGTCCGTGGTGGTGTACTCGATCGTTCCCCGCTTGAGCGCCGCCGATCCTGCCTCCGAGTAGAAGAACTCGAGATCGCCGTTGTTGCCGCCGGTGTAGGGCGCGCCCAGGCTAACGTTGAACCCGTTGTTGAGCCCGGTGCTCCCCTGCAAGAACTGCTCCACAAGCCGCTCCGACGAATTGGCGGCGGCTACCTCTTCCCAGCTCTCGCCGAGTCCGGGGCCGATTGCGTCGGCGTCCTGGTCACTGAGCGAATCCCAACCCGCCGAGCCGTTGAAGTCCGACGTCATCAGAGCCCCGCCGGCGCTGTCGATCCGGTAGTAGTCGAAGGAGGCCGCCTGTCCCTTGTCGTTGCGGATAAAGACGCCGCCCGTCGTGTGGTTAACCACTAGCGTTAGGCCCGCGATGGTGTCGTTGAGCAGCTGATCTGGCGTCAACGCCTCGTCGCTGATCCGGACGTCGTCGATGTAGCCGTTGACGCGGTCGCCGTGCGCGTCATTGTACATGCCGCGGGCGACCGTCCAAGCGTAGGGGGCGTCGGACGTGGCGTCGTCGCCGGCGAAACCGGCTTCGTTCAGGGCGGCCATCCGGGTGTCGGCGGATGTAGTGATGTCGAGCATGCCCTCTTCGACGCCGTTAACGTAGATCCGCAGGGTGTTGCCGTCGTTGGTGGCGGCCAGGTTGTACCACTCACCGGCCACAGCGGTCGTGGTGCTGTCTACGATGTGAGTGGCGCCGGTCACGTCGACGTAGTTGATCCGGAACTGCTCCGTGCCGTCACCCTTCTTCTGAAAGTAGAGCGGGGCCTGGTTGACGTCGCCGGCGGTTGCTTGGCCGATGCCGTCCTTCCCGACAATCGTCTGCCAGCCCGCGGAGTCCGTGAAGTTGACCGAGGCTTCGATCGTCCACGCGGAAAGCGTATCCGCAACTTTTACTCCGCCAACCTCCAAGTCGCCGTCCGAAGAAAGCACCTCGCAGCAGTCGCCAGGGGCGCCGACGATGCTCAGGTTGGATCCGGTGCGGTTGCTCGGCGACACGACGTTGCTGAATTGCATGACCGCGAAGCCTGCGCCATCTTGCGAGAAACGCGACAGATGGTTGCCGTTCCCCGAGATGTCCTGAATCGCGGCGTCGAACGCGCCGTTGATGCTCGGGTGCGAGACATTCTGGCCGTTGACCGCCGTGCCCGCGATCAGATCGGTCTCGAAGTCCCAGTGGGCGATCGTGACCGCGTCGGTTGAGTGATCGCCGCCAATCACGGCCGCCACCGCGGTGATCGCCGCGCAACCTCGCCGACGCCACTTGTTCCAAGTAAAAATATTCATGCTGATGCCAGTATTAAGGAGTCGCACAGGTGCGGATGAGCTTGTTAAACGCCGGAACTTACGGGCTACTCGCGACGACGTGCGGCCAGCGACGCCACGGCGACCAGGGCCAGCAACGCGGCGCTCGGCTCCGGCACGGCGCTCAGGGCGGCAAACGCGGCGGCGCCGTTGGCGGCGATGAAGTCATTCTTGAACAAGCGGAAGTCGTCGAAGTCGTTGTCCAGGTCGCCGTCGATGTCGCCGAAGGGGGCGGTTTCGAAGGCGGTGGTCCCGGGCAGCGGGTTCAGGTGGAAACTCAGCAGCGCGCTGTAATCGTCGGCGTCGATGTCGCCGTCGACGTCGAGGTCGCTGCGGCTGAAGGCCTCGCCACCGTTGCCTACGAACTGTACCGACAGGTTCTCCACCCGCTCGGTGAAATCGGGGTTAAGGATCGTGAGCGACAGCGTCACGTCCTCAAATCGTGACTTGCTCCACACGTTGCCCAGCGAAAACCCGCCGCCGAGCGGCGCTCCGTCGTCTGGTCCACCGCCCCCGACCGGCTCCTCTTCCGCCAGGTTGTTGCCCGTGGCCGACGTGACGGTCCAGATATCGTCCGCATCGATGGACCCGCCGCTGTTGGCGTCACCCGTGTCGGCGATCGAGGTCCACCCGGCGGGGTTCAGTGACCCGGCGGCCGAACTGAGTGAGTAGCTGATGATGCTCTCGTCGGAAAGGCTGTTGATCAGCTGCGCTTCTCCTGAAATACGGTTGATCTCGAGGTACCTTGAGCCACAGTTGTCGATGCAGCCGTCGGTGAAACGTGTCGCGACTTCGGCCTCGGACAGGGCGTTGTCCCAGATGCTGAACTCGTAGATCGAGCCTTCAAAGTAGGGGTCCGGGTACAGGGCGCGACCGAGGTAGGCCAGGTCGTTGCTGACGTTGGCCAGCGAGGCGCCGGCGATCGTGCTCAGTGGCGCGACGCCAATCTGCATGCCGTCAACGTAGTAGGCCAGGTCGGTCGCGTTGACGGTCATCACCACGTGGTGCAGGCCGCCGTCGTTCAGGTCGCGGCTCCCGTCGGTCACGCCGACTTCACCGTCGAACGTTCCAAACGAGATGGCGCCGCGACTGCCGTCGCCGCCCCCGCGGGTGGGCTGCATCATCAAGTAGTCGTAGCCGAGGCCAGAGGTTTCGCCGTTGGAACCGTCGCTGGTGCGGCCAAACCCGGCGGCGAAGGTGAACTGGTCATTGTTGCCGGTCTGCGCCATCCACATCTCCAGCGTCACTTCGCTGTAGGTGTTGATCGCGATGGTGGACGCAGGCAACTCGGCGAAGGCCGAGCCACCATCGAGCACTAGTCGGCTCTCCGATACGTTCACGATCGGCGAGACGGAGTCGCTAGCGATGGCGGTCCCATTGGCGCCGCCGACCGAGTCCACCGCGGTGAACCCATCGCCCGAGTTAAACAGGTACTGGTGGGTAAGTTCGCCGTGGGCGGGCGACAGGCATACGCCCGAGACAGCCACCGCCACCAAGGCAGGAGCCGCTGAAATCCAGGTGCGGCGTGTTAGAAGAGACATGCAAGCAGTTCCTATCAAGATACGCGGTGTTTCAACCTAAGCAGACAATGCCCCAAGAGTCGCCGTGCGCGACGCGCGATGTCACCCGACGCCCAAGCGCACCACTCACCACCGCTACCCGGGCGAACGGGAAAAGCCGCCCAAATCGGCCCTATTCGCAACTCGGAACGAATCGGAAGTGTGCAGCGACCGATTCCTAAAGAAGACCGCTACAATTCGGGCGTGATCGCGACCGACGCCGCAGAGAAAGTGGAAACAAAATTTAGAAAAGCAACATCATTGAGATTATCTAGACAGCGGTGGGTGGTCAAGCGATTCTCTAAACTTTTTGTTCAGATGGACCCAGCGGTGAGCCGCCTGTGCATAATCGATAGCTAAGCAGGTGGGCGCCGAGGCCGCGGCCGTTAGTCTCTGGTTGCCCTGCCGTGCATCAAACCTAAACTCTTCCTAGGATGGATCTAGGAAGTGCCCTGTGTTATCCGCCGGTATCAAATGCTTACTGCTCCTCAAGTCGCCCTGCTGATTGAAACCGCCCGCGGCTACGGCCGGGACGTGGCGCTCGGAATTGCACGCTTTGCCCGGCTGCACGGCCCGTGGAGCTTCCACCTAACACCTGGCGATTTCGAACAGGCCTTTCCCCAGGAGGAGTACTGGACCGGCGATGGCGTGTTTGCCCGCTTAGCGAGCGCCGAAATCGAAGGAAAGCTACTGGCCGCGGGCCTGCCGACGATCGCGCTGGACATGAGCGACGAGCAGCTTAACCCCAGCAACCCGCTCTCGGCATTCTCCGACCTGCGGGTCGATTCGGAAGCGGCCGCCAGGATGGCCGCGGTCCACCTGCTGGAGCGAAAGTATCCCAACTACGGGTTCGTGGGGGCGGCGGGCGTGGTTTGGAGCGATCGACGTGAGCGGACCTTCCGCGAGTCGATCCACGCCGAAGGCTTTGAGCCCCACGTCTTCGCGCCGCGGGGACCAAGCTGGGCGAGGGTTTGGGAACGAGAGATGCCCGCCCTCACCGAGTGGGTCGCTAACCTGCCCAAGCCGATTGGCCTGATGGCCTGCAATGATGAGTGCGGCCTGCACGTCCTGGACGCCTGTCGGCGGGCCGGGCTGCGGGTGCCTGAAGAGGTTGCGGTGATCGGTGTCGACAACGATGCTCTGCTGTGCGAGCTTTGCAGCCCGGGTCTGTCGAGCGTTGTTCTGAACGGCGTCGAGGGCGGCTACCGAGCTGCGGAGCACCTGAACCACCTGATGCGTGGCGAATCCCAGGGAGCGTCGGCGATCCTGGTCAGCGCACTGCGTGTCGAGACACGCCAATCGACCGAACTGCAGGTGGTGGGAAACCAGCAGGTCACCTCCGCTCAGGCTTACATTAATAAGACCCGGGGTCGCTCGTTGACCGCTGATGATGTGGCTGACCATGCCCGCGTGACGCGGCGCGAACTGGACGCCATGTTTCGTGACACGCTGGGCCGATCCATCGCGGCGGAGATTCAGCGGGTGCGGCTGGAGCACGCGCGGCGGCTGCTCGAAGAGACCGACCACCCGATCCCGAGCATCGCCGAGGCCGCCGGCTACAGCTCCGCCAGCTACATGATCCAGGTCTTCCGGCGGGAACTCGGCACCACGCCTTCCAAGTACCGGTCCGGCGTGCGATCACTGAGCATCGCAGGCGCAGAACGCGGCGGCAGCCCGTTGCTTTGATTCGCCCAACGCGAGTCGATCACATCCAGCCGATGCGAACATGCCCGCTGTCGGTGTGCACACCGGGGTGCGGCCTGCACTGAGGCGTCGTCTGCGTAGCGGTCTCTCGTTGCGGACGAAGCTTGTTTGACGCCGCCTCCCGTGCCCATTCCCGGGAATCAAAGTCCGCCCGCTCGGCCTGCAGGCTGGCGGGCGAACAAACGGTCTTCCCTAGGACTCATGGACGCTAGTTGTCCGACGCCACTTCCTCACCGGCGGAAGAGGTGAGCGTGTTCCAGACGTAGCGGTCGATGCCGTCAGTGTAGAACTCGACCGAGCCGTCGCAGCGTGATGAGTTGACGCCGCCTACGTGCTTGCTTCGGGCGGAGATGTGCTGCGATTTCGCGTTCGCCGCTTGCTGGGGTTGCTTCCTGGCGGGCACTACTGGGATGCCTTGATCAATCCATCCCGACTGCACGTTCCCCCACCACTCAGTAATCCGAAAGAGCGCGTCGTAGCCATTCGCCACGCCCGCGCTGCCCGGGAAGTTTGGCGTGTTGAGCCCATTGAATTGCTGCCCGCCAAGCGCGGTTTGAGCGTCGGAGTAGGGACCGCCCCAATCTGTTGAACTAGGCAGCACAAGCACCTCGGACATCATTAGTGTCTTTGAGGTGCCGTCGATGATCTTCGAGAGCTTGCCCGGCTTCCGTGGGATGAACGGCGAACCACCGAACTGGATATAGTTGGGAAACGTGGCGCGAGAACTGCCCACGTCCGTCTGCCCATACACGGTGTTCCCGCCGTTTACGACGTAATTAGATCGGACGCGGGCCCAGTTCGCGGTCGCCCATTCATTCTCTTGCAGGCCGATGTCCGACGGGCACGCCTGCATTGGAACCTTCGCCCTGCGCGCGACCGCATTCTTGGCGTCACTGAAGGACACGGACGGGTCGGCGAGATCAGCGATCCCTTGCTCTTCGACGTACGGCATCAGCGGGATGTACCAGCCGTGGTCATCGTACCAGCTGCCGGGGGGGGTGCCAGGGTATCGATCCAGATACTCTTGATGCTCCCAGGTAAGCGCGATCGCCGGTAGGCCCTTGAACGTGCCCTCGTAGTTCATCATCGCGAGGCCGAGTTGGCGTAGGTTGTTCACGCACTGCGAACGGCGGGCCGCTTCACGGGCGGCCTGGACCGCGGGCAGCAAGAGGGCGATCAACACGCCGATGATCGCGATCACTACCAACAACTCGACGAGCGTAAAACCGTCGCCTCGTTTGCGAGATGTCTTCATAAGGGATACTCGTGTCTTCTGAGGGGAAAGTGTGTCCGCGGCACGCGGCGGAGGACACTTGGTCGCGTAGAAAGGCGTGGTTAGAGATTGAAGTCCAGGTTCTCGTTAGCGGCGTCGATATTCACCTCATGCCCCGCGGCGTGTTGCGGCGGGACAAGGCTGGTTTCTTCGCGATACTCTTGCCCGGTCCGCGGGCTCACCTTGGGGGGGCCCTCGCGGTAGATGTTGAAGGTCGCTCGCACGGCGCCGACAGGAACGTTCGATGCCTCGTAGCGGCTGTTGGCAATCTGTGCGACGACCGGTTCGGCCTCGATGTCGTTGACCGGGGCAAAGCTCACCGTACCTTTGGCGTCCTCCGGCAAGGGCTTGCCGCCGATGGTCACCTCGCCAGCGACGGTGGTCGTCTCGCCCCCGCCGGAACCACACCCAACCACCAGCCAAAGTGCCGAGGCCATCAGTAGGGTAATCGTCCGGCTGAGCGGTGGCTGGAAAAGGTTGGTCACTCTCACCTCACTCGGGCGCCGCAGATGGGGGCCGGCTTCGTAGGGCAATTCCTCACGCTGCCGACACATCCTCCAAGCAGCGGTGTTGGTATTGTGGTTGGAAAACGACTTTGACTTGGTCAGGCGGTAGCCACGACATCGCAGCCCGACATCCCTAACCGACGGCCCAATGCATGCTGATCTATCGAGCCGGAGCGTAGCTGGAGCTGTGTCGACGGGGAGCCGGCGTCTAGTGGGCGAATGCTGGGTAGTTGGACTAGGAGCGACAGACGAGCACGGACCACTCCCCCCGATGCGTCGAAAGACGGCGAGCGGGAGGCCTGTCTTACAGGCGGCAATGGGTCTGAGCCGTGATAAGTAGGCCGAAGCCGATGTTTGTATTCTAAAATTCTTTTATAAAAAGTCAAAGCGTTTAGCTGGGGACTCAGCGGAAATCGTCAAATAGTGGGCTTATTGCCCGAGGTCTCCGCAAGGTTGTTGGGTTGATTCCCGCATGTAGAGGGCGATGCGTTGCAGGCGCCACTCTGGATTCACAACCTCCCGCGGATGGGACCGCTGGGCCAGGCTTGGTAAGAATGGCCATTTCATCGGCGAAAAAGGCCGGCGTGTCGGCTCTAATGGGGGCGAGCCCTTTCTTGCGAGGGCGATTTGCCACCCTCCACGCGTCGCCCTGAGAGAGCACGCGGTTGAACCTTGCAGCAGAGGGGTTTTGTCGCACTTAACGCGCAACGGGGGACAAAACCCGATTTGTTGAGGACCGCACGATGTTCAAAATACGCTGCTATGGCAGTGCGAAATGAGTTTCTCGACGAGGATGGCGGTGGGGGTTTTGTCGCTATCGATCGATTCAGCGAAAACGGCGACAAAACGGACAAAACCCGTGCGGCCGCGCGGTCTAATGCGGTTCCCGGCGCCGTGAGGGGCCGGCGCCTGCGCACTCCTCCTACCGACAGCGAATCCGCGATGATCGATTGCCCTGATGTGAAGAAGCAAGTAATCCGGCGGCACTACAACGTGTCGACGTTGTTCTACCGGCTGCTCTGGGGGCGGCACATCCACCACGGCTACTGGGTCACCGGCGACGAGTCGCCCTCGGTGGCGCAGGATCAACTGACCGACGCCCTGGCCAGCGCCGCCGGCGTTGCGAGCGGGGCGTCGATGATTGACGTGGGGTGCGGCATGGGCGGCTCGTCCCGACGCCTCGCCACGCGGCT